TCTGCAATCGACCGAAATCTGCACGACAGTTTACGAACCGGATTTCAATTTCGGTGCGCGATTTTGATTGGACTATGCATAGGCTCGTTAGTCAAGCCAAAATGTAACTCCATAATACCAGCCTAGATCGGCAAGGGTGGAATCTGGACATTTGTAGTCTCTTCTCTTGCCTCGGGAAGATGGTATCCTGTTAGTTAGAGAGCAAACTCTAGAAATATGCCGACGTTAAACTATTAACTATATCTTTATAGATATAGGGGCGGTCGGGTAGCCTAGTGGTTAAAGCGTTAACTCGTCACGCCGACGACCCGGGTTCGATTCCCGACATGGGTACAATGTGTGAAGCCCATTTCTGGTGTCCCCCGCCGTGATATTGCTGGAATAGTGCTAAAAGCGGCGTAAAACCATACTTACTCACTCACTCACTCACTTATAGATATAGATATTCAGGCGTAGGCCGGTCAATCATTCATGCTTGCTATTAAACATGCATGGTGATAAGAGTTTAGTAATGGTCACCCAACAGACATAATGACAGGAAGAAATATCATCAACAGGCTAGTGTTCTGTGTTTTGGGCGTGGACCATTTATAGAAACACATTTGAACCGCACCAGCTACTTCCAACAGATAAAACACACAAAACGTCGGATACTTACTAGAATTTACATTTGCAATTCCAATAAATACATTATTCAGAAGTAAGAAACAATAAAGCAAAACACGTTGATCAACGATGTGATACAGGTCGTCATTATATCGATCTGATACCATTGGCATTGGCATTTCAGTGAGTGAGTAAACAGCTAACGTCACATAGGCCATATTTCAGCCATATCGTGACGAGAAGTTAGATTATTAATAAATATTTTTACATTGAATAAAAACCTGTCATAGATGGACATTAACCCCCTGGATGCCAGAGCGACATATATGTCCCTCCTCTACAACCCTCACTTTGAAGTCGAATAAAATTCAAAATACATCACCCACACAGGTACACTTGACAGTTTTGAATAAGGTTGGAAATTCCCTGTTCTGTGATATCATCCACTGGCATTTGATATGTAGTTATGTCGTTCAGATATTAGGCAGTATTTTGTTCGCTCACAGTTTCCGTAAAGCTTCTAAATAAAACAATCGTCGCACAGTACTTTTATCGGTGTACGATAAAAAGCGGAGACATTTACTGTTTTTCAACGCAGAATGAATTCTCGGACAACACGTAGAAGTGTCTTTTTTTAAAACCGGTTTAATATTTGCAGTTTAATTTACACCATTTAATAGGAAATTTAATATTCTCAATCTCTGCGTAATTTTATAGCCAGAGGTAGATCCAGTGCCGCGTGAGCGTACTTCTCGCACAACCTTCACTTTTCCGATCTAAGGCAAATGTGCGTCAGAAAAAAAACCTCGGCATCCAGAGGGTTAATGTAACGAGATAATAACAGATTTAAGTGAGTGAGTGAGTTAAATGTTAACGTCACATCGGCAATATTTCGGCCATATCGTGACGAGAACAATTTATACATGAATAGCAAATACATTTAGACCATATAAAAACCTGTCCACAAAGGACAGTAAAACAAACAGAGTATTACAGATTAATATTAAAATTAGAATATAACCATAAAACGATATCACTTAACATAACAATATACTTAAAAAATGGGCTATAGATCACCAGCAACCAAGTTGGGCCACCACACTTGGGATCATGGGGACTCAGTACATCTGCTTCCTGCATGGTACTCATGCAGGATTTACATCATAACTTTAGTTACTGGTGATTGTGGACAAGGTTTGGCCAAAGATTAAAACAAACAAATATTCTTCGATTAAAACACTGGTAGACATAAAAAAAATACTTTGAATGACGTGGACTTACAATTATAAGGGAAAGAATATTTGTATGCCCTTTCAACTCCCAACAAGGGCACAGCCGCTAATAATCTCAGTTTATAATCATATACTAGCAATTTATAAAACACATATAAAATATATCAATTAATTAAATTTAAATTTCTTGAAAAAAAGACCCAAATTTCTTGGAAAAAAAGACCCCACTACTAAAAAGGATTATCTGCTTCAAAATATCATTTATGAATGAAGCTTTGAAATATTTATCCCTTGTGATGGAACCGTTATCACTTAGGGCATGCCTGACCGTGATTCTTTCATCACAAGGGATACAGAATGGAGAAGCCTCACCTTTCAATAAATATTTCTCAGTATATCTGCTATGGCCTAAACGACATCGTCGTAAAATGACCTCTTCAAATCTGGACTGACAACCCAAGTAGGTATTTGGTTTGATTTTATGTAACTTATTTATACCTACTTGGGTGTCTCACTTCTTTTGAATGAGATCTCGGATGTAACATATGAAACAGGTTTGAATTTACTGTATGGGATAAGAAGCAAAAGCCATTGGGTTACCTTCATACCCACACGACAGGGCAAGCAACAAAAGACGATGTCGTATTGGCAAGTTGAAAGAGGTGAGGTGAGGTGAAATTGGGTTTAACGTCGCGTCCAAGATTTTTGTACTTATATTAGCGACGTACATGCACGTGTGTGTGTGTGGATGCTTGTACTAGTATAGTGCTAGCTCACTGAGATACCATGCCGCAGTTTAACACGAATACCCCACTCAGACACAGTATACTGACTCCGAGCCGACCAGTCCTTGTTTTAGCGCCAGACAGGGTAACAACAAGTACATCTTTTAACGTCTTTTGGTATGACGCGGCCGGGGATGGAACTCCGGACCTTCCGCTCTCCGGGCGGACGCTCTATACCTCTAGACCACGGAGGCGGTTGGCCAGTTGAATGGTCATTGTTATCTAAAATAATCAAGATCAGATGAATCAAGTTCAGAATGAGTTTATTTATTTATTTATTTATTTATTTATTTATTTATTTATTTATTTATTTATTTATTTATTTATTTATTTATTTATTTATTTATTTATTTATTTATTTATTTATTTATTTATTTATTTATTTATTTATTTATTTATTTATTTATTTATTTATTTATTTATTTATTTATTTATTTATCCCCATTGTAGTATTGATTGTGGTTCAGCAAAGCTGTTCCCTGCTCTCGATGGAGCGCCAACAAGGGCGATAAAATATATGAAGCGGTACACCAGGAGACTAACACCATAGAGATGCAGGAATGTCATATTCCAGCAGAACAACAGAACCCAACACATGCGCCCATGAGGCACCGCGCGCCTGCTCGGCCTACGACTCAAAGCACATGGCATTCGAATGGTAGGATAAGCTTGGGTACAATCGGCATACAGGAAAAATCGACTCTGCTCTTTCTATGATTGTTTGTTTGTTGTTTAAACGCCGCACTCAATATTCCACCTATATGGCGGCGGTCTGTTAATAATCGAGTCTTGACCAGACAATCCAGTGATCGTTATCAGAGAGCAAAATATTTGCTGCTGAGGATTGCAACAACTGAAAACACTTATACCCCCTCAGCGTCAAAGACGTCGTTTGAAGACTCAAGAATTAGGCAGATGCATAGGCATGCTTGAAACTGGGTCAACACAACGTCACGTTGCAAACGTCCTTGGTGTCAGCCATAGTGTGATCAGAAGGGCATGGAATCGATAGCTAGCGACATGCAGGTGGTCGACAGTGTTCCACAACAAAATGGGGAGACAGATTTCTCCTGACTGTAGCAAGACGTCATCACTTCGTGCATGACTTCCACCACACTCAGAAATGACACGCGGAACGCCAGTGGCGTTAGCGTTTCTATACTCACACAGTGCGTAATCGTCTCCGTGAGGCTGTACCGGTCACGGAGGGCATGCATTTGCATCCCACTGACCAGACATCACGTGCAGGAAGGCACGTTTGAATTGGGCTAAAGATTACGTCAGTTGGAGAGTGAGTGAGTTGGGTTTAACGCCGCCTTTAACAATATTCCAGTTATATCGCGACGTGTCAGCTTAATGTGGGAGGAAAGCCCGAAGTGATGCAGGTCTCAGACGTTTACCACTTCGGTGAAACCCACGAGCACGGGTATGGTGCTGACAAACCTAGAAACATAATTGGAGCGAACCGGGATTCGAACCCACAATCATAGGTTTCTGGCGTGCCCAAGGGACGCAACTCTGCACAGCGAATCGCGGCGCCTTAGACGACTGGGCCACCCGTGCCCCCAAGTTGGAGAGGCCAGGCCGGGCGAGGGTTGTAGTACTTTTCATCGATGAATCGAGATACTGTCTAAATTTCACAGATCGTCCTGAATTTCGGGATTCCAACGTAGCCGAACATGACCGCTATGAAGGAGCTGGAAGAACCGATCTCCATGTGCAACAGCGGGGCCCGATGACAGGTGTGCGATACAGGGATGACATTCTGAATGTGTACGTGAGACCGTATCCTGGTGCACTTGGACCGGGCTTCATCCTCATGGACCACAACTCACGACCTCATCGAGCCAGGGTCGTTTATGCCTATACTTAGAGCAGGAGACAATTGTCCGCATGGATTGGCCAGTCCGGTGATCAGACCTCAACCCTATCCAACACCTATGGAACGAACCGCAGATCACCCTCTCACGACCCCCTGTCTTTAAAAGGAACTCGGCAATGTTCTCACTGAAGAGTGGAACAATCTTCCCTTGGCAACCATCCAGTCACTTATTGGGAGCATGAGACGGCGGTGCAAGGCTGTGATCGAATCACGTGGATCACATACGCGCTGCTGAGTTGTTTTTTTTCGACAATGAATTTGTTTTCGTGATTTTTTAACTTTTCAGTTTTGGGCAGATACTTTCATTTTAAAGGGCGATCTGACTTTTTATTGGCCACATATTATTTGTTGGCATTGTGTAGCACATGGCAACGGACTTTTGCTCATTAAACATGTCTTCACACAATATTGTCTTTGGCTATTTCAACAGATGCTCACAAGTTGATGAACTACCGTTTAAATCCTTATTTCGTTTCAGCAGGAATGGCAATTTTGAATAACCAATATGTCTGCGCCCAGAAGCCGCGAGGTTGAAAAGTGTTTGTAAACACAAATAGAGCCAGTGTCTGGAAACTGGACATAATTATTGTCTCTCTTGTTGTCATATATTTGTCGTCATTGGTTCATCATGGCTGAACTCCGAGTGACTCCACTAGGTATGATTTCATTTAAATTCTAGGGCCTAGAAACTGTCCACTGCAGAAGTAAGTTAGTGGACCTGTGGACATAGTTGTTAATTTCGACGATAACTATTGCAATAAAAAACAGAGTCATACTGAACAATATCATATGCACGTTGAATAACGTAACGTGCTTGAATATGAGAATGGTTCCAACACTGAAACTAAAGTTTTCATTATTCTTTATGATGGTATCTATCTGCTAATAGTGACAACTCGTGTGTGGTAGAGTTGATGTTATTGTTCAGTAGCTTACTGTGATTTTTATACCAATTATTGTGATTATGGTACCATATGACGCTTTCATGCAGAGTAAGTAGGGCTGTAAACAAATGTAACTGCATGACAACTGACTAAAGAGAATATCACTGGAAATGTATTGACTATTGTTGTATTGAAACTGAATAATGTGCATTTGTTTCTCTATGAGTCCCGTCCGGGGTTCGAACCCACATTTGCCAGAGTGAGGCACCTAATCGCCAGCACACAAAGTCAGCGATCTAACCCACTCAGCCACCGAGGCTTCCACAAAAAACAGTCTGACAACTGGTAGTCTAGATCACGTACTTGAGTACCCCTCTGACAAGTGTCAATTGGCATGGCTCCCATGGCCAAAAGCTATGAATAGCTCGGTGGCTGAGTGGGTTAGATCGCTGACTTTGTTTGTTGGCGATAAGGTGCCTCACTCTGGCAAGTGTGGGTTCGAATCCCGGACAGGACTCAACCCCCAAAAAGTACGAGAATCTGTTCTTTACTAAGAAAATGTTATCCCAAATATAACATCGGTTACATCTTAAAAGGTGTCTACGAAGTCACTCCCAGTTTCTTGACGAGTTGTGTTTTGTGTTTGTTTCTTGTAAATTGTGTCTGCGAGTTGTGTCTATGAACATGATGAATTCACTGCATTTCATGAAATAACATGTAATGGTGTGCACAAAGCCCTCCCTCCATTAATAATGTTAATCATCACTTAGTAGAAATCAAATGTAGACTGTCTAGTGGATGTTTTACATTACAGTAAACTACGGTTATAACGAACTTGAGGGGACCACTAATTTTAGTTCGTAATAACCGTAGTTCGTTATATGCAGACAAACAGCATATATACAACAAATGGTCCGGACTAAAAATAAGTGCGTTATATCCGTCAGTTCGTTATAAGCGTGTTCGTTATAAGCGTGTTCGTTATAAACGTAGTTTACTGTATACTATATATTTTGATCATAATGTTCCTATTTCTTATCTTTATTTTTTCTGTTTCAGGGGCTGGCCAAGGTGAGCTGCTATTTCATTCCCAAAGAGAGTATAAGCATGACAAATCAGGGCTGAACACGCTGGATGTATGTGTTGTGACAGATTCAGTAGCCGGAGCGATTTTTGTGTCATTCTCACTAATGACATCATGGACAATGCTCACACTTTTTAGCAGTGCACACACCGGGTGTTACAAACATGATATTGCCTGTCTGTTTTTGGTAATGTTAGTTTTCCACAAGATACTGGAGCGAGCAAGAAGAAATAATTGGCGAAGTAATTTGGAACAATGTTGAACAAAAATGAAATAAACTTTGTCATGGAATTCATTATCAGATGTAGGCATCAGTAATGTTGATGAAGTTTTTACGATTTAGTAACTCAAACCCATGATTTCATCATGGCATTGCTTATTATTTCCTGTGTTTATATATCTGTAAGCGAAAAGCATGTGAAAACAATCAAATGGAAGAAATTCACAAAGAAAACTGGATTGACTCAGTCACTGCTACAGCAAATTGATAAAAACAAAAAAGCAAGTCTGGTAATAGCAATAGACTTTCATTAATAGCTAAATCTTAGTTTGAAGATATATCCCAGAGACAAGAAATGCTAAGTGAAACCCAGTTATTGCTACATATCCAAGACACCATCATCTCAATAAACACACACCTGAGGTAGGAGGGTCATGACATGACAGTTGACATGTGCATATTTTTCATAGTCTTTATGAGGTAATCATATCAAAATATGATTCAGCCCTAAGATCAGTCTATCACAGTCCTCTTATCTTCCACACAATCAGAAATCTGCACAAGGTTTCACGGGGGGGTACTTTTTTTTTATCAAACTATGACAATCGAGGTGATTTCCAAATACCAGGGGCAGTGGGTAGCCTGGTGGTTAAAGCGTTCACTCATCACACTGAAGATCAGTGTTCGATTCCCCAGGGTACAATGTGTAAAGCCCATTTCTGGTGTCCCCCATGTGATATTGCTGGAATATTGCTAACAGAGGCGTAAAACCATACTCACTCACTCCAAATGCCAGCATCTGTTAAGAATCCGCCGTCTTATTTTCGGTGTCCCGCTGTAAAGATATTTCAATACAAATTTGAAAAGGATACATTGGGTAATTACGCAGACTTGTGTTGTCCTATTGAATTTTAGAAATTCTTCATCCATATTTATACACAAGAAGCAAGAATTCATTGGGTAATGGTAATTTGTACTTGTTGACATTAATGCTGGCTGAGACAGTTGCTGTAAATCCCCGGCCGCGTCATACCAAAAGACGTTAAAAGATGGTACTTGTTGTTACCCTGTCTGGCCCTCGGCATTAAGGGGCTAAAACAAGGACTAGTCGGCTCGGAGTCAGTAAACTGTGTCTGAGTGGGGTATTCATGTTAAATTGTGGCATGGTATCTCAGTGAGCCAGCACTATAAATCGGCATCAGTCCGGACTAGTACAAGCAGCCACACAAACACACACACGTACATGCATGTCGCTATATAAGTGCAATAATCTTGGACGCGACGTTAAACCCAATTTCACCTCACACCTGACATGAAAAGATTTCAAAAGTTTAATATTTATGTCAACATAATAGCAACATAGTGGGTAAGCAGCACCAAAATAAGTTTGGTACTAACTAATGGGGGCCTGTGTTTTCTATGTTTACATGGTATAAGACCACGGTCCTCTGTTACTTGATGCCGATAATTCCCCCTTCTCAGATGTGGGTCGTAGCTGTATTCTGTTGACCATCGGAGGCAAGAACATCATGCTGGACTGCGGGATGCACATGGGGTACAACGACGAGAGGCGCTTCCCCGACTTCACCTACATCACCCGCACAGAGAAACTGACGGAGCATCTCGACTGTGTCATTATCAGGTGAGGCCACTTGTATAGATCCCCAGTGCATCATGCTAACTGAAGTGCAATCTGGGCCCCGTTCCACAAAGGGAGGGCGGTCGGGTAGCCTAGTGGTTAAAGCGTTCTCTCGTCACGCCCAAGCCCCGAGTTCGATCCCCGACATGGGTACAATGTGTGAAGCCCATTTCTGGTGTCCTCTGCCGTGATATTGCTGGAATATTGCTAAAAGCGGCGTAAAATCATATTCACTCACTCACTCCACAAAGCGATCTTTGCGATAAGTCGGTCGTAACTCCCATTCTTTAAGTTAAATTAACGCTGACCTACGAGTCGTAGCGCTAAGATAGCTATGTGGAACGGATCCCTGGTCTGTGTTAGAGTGCAGGCTCCAGATAATTTTTTTAGCCACTGTTGGGATTTATCTATTTATCTAGATCTGCTCAGAGGCTGATATTTGGCATCAAGTCTGTTGAAAATGTCAAAAAGAATTCCCAAGTTGGAATTATAAATTTCCCAATTCATGTATATATATTAATAAGTAGTGTTGTAGCTTTGGAGAATCGACTTGTATTTTTTTTTTCCCTGACCAATTTGAGAAAACATGTGATTTTTTCCCAAATTGACTGCAAGGGTACTTAGTTTGGAATCCTAGACAAATCCCTGCATTGAGTATTTTCTCACAAATTATCATTCACATTGGTTATTGATAGTTTTCGTTTGGTTTTTGATATGTTTTTATTCCTTTGGATCCAGTTATTGGGTATTTATACACCAATCAGTAGACATTTTTTAGAAATTATTCTGTTTATATGCAGTTTCAGATGACTTCTAATTTGTATCTATTCATTTGCTGTGACATGTGCATAAACTGACAACAGTGATTATACATGTCTTATTAACAATAAACAAGATGTGGCACCTTTGTAATGTTGTATTCACTGCAGTAGAGTTCATTGTATGTTGGACCTGTGAAGATCGGGGTAGAATAGGTCTTCAGCAATCCATGCTTGCCGTAAAAGGCGACTATGCTTGTCGTAAGAGGCGACTAACGTGATTGGGTGGTCAGGCTCGCTGACTTGGTTGATGCATGTCATTGATCCCAATTCCGTGGGTCGATGCTCATGATGTCAATCACTGGATTGTCTGGTCCAGACTTGACAGTTTACAGATAACAGTCGTATAGTTGGAATATTGCTGAGTGTGGCAACAACAAATAAACCAAAATTAAAAGAAATACTAAGATGTTTTAACTCTGGTGAAAACAGCCATTTCCACCTTGACCACTGTGGCGCACTGCCGTTCATGTCGGAGATGGTGGGGTACGACGGGCCCATCTACATGACCCACCCAACAAAGGCCATCTGCCCAATCCTGCTGGTAAGTAAGAGTGAATCAAGGGTAAAGGGGAAGATTTAGATAAAATTAGTCTGCAGCTCAATTCTGACTAGTGGTTCTTCAAAGCTATCAATTTCGAAGACTTATCCTATCTCACACTATGGATTTCATCCTCCTTCTTTGAGGGACCGCCTCCGTGGTCTAGTTGTGAAGTGTCCGCCTGGAGAGAGGTAGGTCCGGGTTTCCATTCCCGGCCGCGTCATACCAAAAGACGTTAAAAGATGTTGTTACTTGTTGTTACCCTGTCTGGCGCTCGGCATTAAGGGGCTAAAACAAGGACTGGTCGGCTCGGAGTCAGTAAACTGTGTCTGAGTGGGGTATTCATGTTAAATTGTGGCATGGTATCTCAGTGAGCCAGCACTATAAATCGGCATCAGTCCGGACTAGTACAAGCAGTCACATACACACGCGTGCATGCACGTCGCTATGATAATCTTGAACACAAAACCCTTTTTCACTTCACCTAACCTCGGTACCTGCACAATAATACTTTTCTTATAGTATTGGTTTACGTTGTCAAGATTTTTAAATCAGATCACGTCGCTATATAAGTGCAATAATCTTGGATGTGACGTTAAACCCCATTTCACCTCACCTCACCTCACCTTCTTTGATCTTGGTGTAACACATCTTAAAACAAGTTTCAAGCTTTTAAAAAAACACCTCACCCGAACACACCATAGCTGTAGCCATGGTTACCATCACCATCAGCGATCTGTGCAATGCTCATGCATCCCCTGCTGCTTGGTCACATGACATCTTCAGCTTAGTCATTCTCTCTTTTCGCCTTGGTGTGGAGACGTTTTTTTATTTGGGGAGATATGTCTGATCAGAGCCCTCCCGAGACTCTTGATTCACCAATATTGCCGTGGAATGCTTTGATAGTGTCGACCAAGCTGACATGCACACTTAGATTGCTGACAAGTTAGGCCTTCAATGTTGTGTTTTCGATGACGATCGTCTGTCAGGCTTCGTCACGTCAGGTCGCAGTACGGACAGGCTTACTTTACCTCCCAAAAAAATTAACCTTCAACTTGAGCCAGAATCTGGATCGGGTCAAATTTGAAATGTTTTGAAGGAAAGTTAGAGAAAATTCTATTTTGAAGCATAACAACTTCAGTAGTCTTGTTATTATAAAAATAATTTTGACTGTTCCAAAATCGTGAGACATGATTACAATGCGTGAAGCCCATTTCTGGTGTCCCCAGCCGTGATATTGCTGGAATATTTCCAAAAGCAGTGTAAAACCATACTCACTCACTCACTCCAAAATCATGAAAGGTCCAATCTTGTCATGCTTGAATACTTGAAACTAAATAAATGCTGGAGTTCTGTTATATGATTTTTTTTTAACGTTGCGTATTGAGATATGTCAAGATACTTATTGTATCGTGAGCAGAATATCGAGATATGCATCATGTCGTGACCAGAATATCGATATATGTATCGTATCGTGACCTTCCTGCTATCATTGCAGCCGAATTGTTTGGCCTTCATTAATTCAATCCTGACTTAGGACACTGAAGGACCACATTCTCAATTTCCCATATGTTATGGAGACAAACCCAGCAGTAAGTGCCCTGGGTTTTCAGTTTCCCATACATCGGGGTCTGGATAAATGGGGTTTCACTGTATTTTCTTTTATTATTCTTATTTTTTTTTCTTTGATTGTTGCTGACCTTCGGCAACTTATCATAAACAAATGAGTGTCCGTTCAGTGCACTGTACTTTATTAATGGAGTAGATGTTGTAATACGATGCTGCCTTTATAGTATATTTATTGTGGCGTGGGAAATATTAGTATACTCACAATTATAGGGTACCGGTAATTTAAAGTTCTCTAGAACAGCATGATGCCTTTCTTGTTTTATTGGTTGTGTTTGATTTCTTGTTTCATAACTTTTGGTTGGTGGTTGAAATGAAAAAAATAAATCTCAATTTTGAACAAACTAACTTTTTTTTCCCCAGTCTTCCTGCCAAAGGCACTTAGTTTGAAATCCTCGATATATCCCTGAAATATATATGTTCCTTCAGGAGGACTTCCGCAAGATAGCAGTGGAGAGGAAGGGGGAACAGAATTTCTTCACCTCGGACATGATCAAGTCCTGCATGAAGAAAGTTGTGGCCGTCAACCTACACCAGACAATTCAGGTGATGTCTGATAATGGGCTGGATTAAGGTTAAGCTTGTTTTAAAGAAAAACACCTTACAACAACAACATCATCATCATCAACATCAGACCGCCTCCGTGGTCTAGTGGTAGAGCGTCCGCCCGGAGAGTGGAAGGTCCAGGGTTCGATCCCCGGCCGCGTCATACCAAAAGACGTTAACAGATGGTACTTCTTGTTACCCTGTCTGGCGCTCGGCATTAAGGGTCTAAAACAAGGACTGGTCGGCTCGGAGTCAGTATACTGTGTCTGAGTGGGGTATTCATGTTAAACTGCGGCATGGTATCTCAGTGGGCTAGCACTATAAATCGGCATTAGTCCGGACTAGTACAAGCAGCCAAAGACACATGCGTACATGCACGTCGCTATATAAGTGCAATAATCTTGGACGCGACATTAAACCCAATTTCACCTCACCTCATCATCATCATCATCATCATCATCATCATTGCTGTTGCAGGTGGATGATGAGTTGGAGATCAAGGCTTACTATGCAGGCCATGTGCTTGGAGCGGCCATGTTCCACATGAAGGTGGGACAACAGTCAGTTGTGTATACGGTAGGTAAATCTCAAACATCTTGACGACTGATGTATAAATCATGAAGTTGCCATCATATTCTGTCTTCTTTTTGCCATTCTGTTGTTTAGGTAGCCCAGTGGTTGAGATGTTTTCCTGTCTAGCCAAACCTGGGTTCAATTCACAACATATGTGATAACATCATTGTGTCCCCATCATGATTTTGCTGTAGTGTTCAGAGCTCCAGATAATCTTTTGGTGTTGTGGGTATTTTACCCATGCATTTTAAAATCATTGGGTATCAGTAATTCTATCTGGGTATTCAAATTTCTGTTACCCACTAGTTTTTACACATGTGGGTATTTAAGTTAAATATTTAAAAACACTATTCATCTAGTCCCTGCAAACAGATGTCGTGTGGGTTAGAGAGCTTTACCACGATACTTCCACAAGAAAGTGTGATGGCAAATGATCATGATGTAACCGTCATCTTGGAATTTGGCAAGGTTGACGGAATGCCAGTTTATAATTTCAAAGTAAGTTGCTGATTTGCTAATCGAATACGCAGGGTTACTTCACAATATTTTGATGATACACACAAGTTATATTTTTGTAGCGTTTCTGTAATGTTCGTTGCGTATTTGATACGTTTTGATTTTATTTTACTGTGTATTTCTGCATTTCTGATGCGTATTTTACGCAGATACGCAGCTTATCTGGAGCTCTGAGTGTTGATAGAAGTGGCTTAATCCATACTCACTCAGTTTCTCTTCTTTGCCCAGTATTGTATGTTCAAGGGCTGGGACAGGTAACTTGGGTACTCGGGTCGGGCGGGTCAGGAGTAGGACCCGGGTACCCACAGTACTACCCGGATCTGTGGTTAGTCACATGCTATATTGTTTAATGACAATAACTCACTATAGCTCAGTGGTTACACTACAAGTCGCTAATGTTCCCATTTCCTTCTGACGATGCACAAGGGGCGGTCTGGTAGCCTAGTGGTTAAAGCATTCGCTCGTCAAGCCGAAGACCCGGGTTCGATTCCCGACATGGGTACAATGTGTGAAGCCCATTTTCTGGTGTCCCCCGCCGTGATATTGCTGGAATATTGCTAAAAGCGGCGTAAAACCATACTCACTCACTCACTCTGACGATGCACACATTCCTTTTGTGCGACACTTGTCTATGTTTGAGTAAAGATAAAGCTTCAGTCAAATGATCTGAATGTTTGATACATGTATCTAAATAATTTTGGCCAGGGCTGCGGTAAAACAATTCCCAATCAGACACACTTGAGACCTGTAGTGGGTACCCAGGTAGGGTCGGGTAATAGGGGGTCGGGTACCCAGGTAGGGTCGGGTAATAGGGGGTCGGGTACCTGGGTAGGGTCGGGTAATAGGGGGTCGGGTACCTGGGCAGTAAATATGGACTCGTCTCATCCCTAGTATGTTCACACAGGTGGCAAAGTCATCTGAGGCACTGCAATTGCCTTGCAGAGTTACATTCCCTAGATGTGCTATGATCCGATGGTCATGGGTTTGAATCCCAGATTTGCCCTGATTACGACCCTTGGTGTGTCAGTATCAAACCCTTCTCCATCGGTATCACAAATGCTCTTCAACGCAGCATTTATCCAAACCCTCTCACTCACCATATTTCATTTTTACTTAAGATGTTATTTTGTCCCCACATTTTATTGACCCAAATGTAAGGGATCCGTGAAGATCTGGGTTAGAACTGGTCTTCAGCAACCCATTCTTGTTTTTAGAGGCGACTATGTTTGTCGTAAGATTGATGCTCATGATATCAATCACTGGATTGTCTGGTCCAGACCCGATTATTTACAGGCTGCCGTCATATGGCTGGAATATTGCTGATTGCAGCGTTAAACAACAAACAAACACTAATGTGAGACATCAATTTCCTCACTCTGTCTCTTGTCGTGGGCGCGGTCGGGTAGCCTAGTGGTTAAAGCGTTCGCTCGTCACGTCGAAGACCCGGGTTCGATTCCCGACATGGGTTCAATGTGTGAAGCCCATTTCTGGTGTCCCCCGCCATGATATTGCTGGAATATTGCTAAAAGCGGCGTAAAACCATACTCACTCACTCATGTTGCTAATGTCACACTCTTCCGTGTCGCTGCAGGGCGACTACAACATGACCCCGGACCGCCATCTTGGTGCGGCCTGGATTGACAAATGTCGTCCGGACCTGCTGATCAGTGAGTCAACATACGCTACCACAATACGAGATTCCAAACGATGCCGAGAGCGAGATTTCTTGAAGAAGGTTCATGATTGTGTGGAGAAAGGAGGGAAGGTGAGTTCATGATTGTGTGGAGAAAGGAGGGAAGGTGAGTTCGTGATTGTGTGGAGAAAGGAAGGAAGGTGAGTTCATGATTGTGTGGAGAAAGGAGGGAAGGTGAGTTCATGATTGTGAGGAGAAAGGAGGGAAGGTGAGTTCATAATTGTGAGGAGAAAGGAGGGAAGGTGAGTTCATGATTGTGTTGAGAAAGGAAGGAAGGTGAGTTCATGATTGTGTGGGAAAAGGAGGGAAGGTGAGTTCATGATTGTGTGGAGAAAGGAGGGAAGGTGAGTTCATGATTGTGAGGAGAAAGGAGGGAAGGTGAGTTCATGATTGTGAGGAGATAGGAGGGAAGGTGAGTTCATGATTGTGTGGAGAAAGGAGGGAAGGTGAGTTCTTGATTATGTGGTGAAAGGAGGGAAGGTGAGTTCATGATTGTGTGGAGAAAGGAGGGAAGGTGAGTCCATGATTGTGTGGAGAAAGGAGGGAAGGGGAGTTCATGATTGTGTGGAGAAAGGAGGGAAGGTGAGTTCATGATTGTGTGGAAAAATGAGGGAAGGTCAGTTCTTGATTGTGGTGAAAGGAGGGAAGGTGAGTTCATGATTGTGTGGAGAAAGGAGGGAAGGTGAGTTCATGATTGTGTGGAGAAAAGAAGGAAGTGAGTTCATGATTGTGTGGAAAAAGGAGGGAAGGTGAGTTCATGATTGTGTGGAGAAAGGAGGGAAGTTGAGGGTCAGGTTGGCCTAGAAGACATTGTCAACCAATGCTATTTCACAAATCATTTACCAGACAACTTGTTTCATGTAAACCAACTAGTGTAGGCAGAAAAAAAATATTTTCATGTTTATTCTAGAGGACAAGTTCTTTAACATGAATACCCACAATTAGAAGCCATCCTTCTCTGTCTTATGTGACATGCTGTGCACATTATGTACATTCATTCTCATTCTTTACATGTTCAACACTTTGAGTACAGTGAAGCCTATGTTGATCCCCCCAGGTGCTGATCCCGGTGTTTGCCTTAGGCCGGGCCCAGGAGCTGTGTATCCTGCTGGAGACCTACTGGGACCGCATGAACCTCAAGGCCCCTATCTACTTCTCCCTGGGACTCACCGAGAAGGTGAACTAATGTCCCTGGCTGCCCTATTCTGTAGCAAGGATTTCAAAAAAATATATGATCTGATTTACAAAGGTTTTACAAAGAAACAAACATTGTTCACTTGACGTACTGGTTGTTTGTAACATAATTGTTTGGCTCTTCCTTCTAAAAAAGAAAACTTGTGTTTTCAGGCAATGAAAAAATACTCCGTCTCAAACAAATAACCCAAACACCTCCCCAACCCCCTCCAAGTTTTCCGTAACATTGTTTTCATTGAAAAGTTATACTACTTACCAACAGGCCAACTACCTCTTGTAACAATGATGCTACTTCCCTACTTGCAAACCACTACTTGTAACAATGATACTACTTCCCTACTTGCAAACCACTACTTGTAACAATGATACTACTTCCCTAGAGGCAAACCACTACTTGTAACAATGATACTACTTCCCTACTTGCAAACCACTACTTGTAACAATGATACTACTTCCCTACTGGTAAACCACTACTTGTAACAATGATACTACTTCCCTACTGGTAAACCACTACTTGTAACAATGATACTACTTCCCTAGAGGCAAACCACTACTTGTAACAATGATACTACTTCCCTAGAGGCAAACCACTACTTGTAACAATGATACTACTTCCCTACTGGTAAACCACTGCTTGTAACAATGATACTACTTCCCTAGAGGCAAACCACTACTTGTAACAATGATGCTACTTCCCTACTTGCAAACCACTACTTGTAACAATGATGCTACTTCCCTACTGGTAAACCACTACTTGTAACAATGATACTACTTCCCTACTGGTAAACCACTGCTTGTAACAATGATACTACTTCCCTACTGGTAAACCACTGCTTGTAACAATGATACTACTTCCCTAGAGGCAAACCACTACTTGTAACAATGATACTACTTCCCTACTGGTAAACCACTACTTGTAACAATGATACTACTTCCCTAGAGGCAAACCACTACTTGTAACAATGATACTACTTCCCTAGAGGCAAACCACTACTTGTAACAATGATGCTACTTCCCTAGAGGTAAACCACTACTTGTAACAATGATGCTACTTCCCTAGAGGCAAACCACTACTTGTAACAATGATACTACTTCCCTACTGGTAAACCACTACTTGTAACAATGATACTACTTCCCTACTGGTAAACCACTACTTGTAACAATGATACTACTTCCCTAGAGGCAAACCACTACTTGTAACAATGATACTACTTCCCTAGAGGCAAACCACTACTTGTAACAATGATACTATTTCCCTAGAGGCAAACCACTACTTGTAACAATGATACTACTTCCCTACTGGTAAACCACTACTTGTAACAATGATGCTACTTCCCTACTGGTAAACCACTACTTGTAACAATGATGCTACTTCCCTAGAGGCAAACCACTACTTGTAACAATGATACTACTTCCCTAGAGGCAAACCACTACTTGTAACAATGATACTACTTCCCTACTGGTAAACCACTACTTGTAACAATGATACTACTTCCCTAGAGGCAAACCACTGCTTGTAACAATGATACTATTTCCCTAGAGGCAAACCACTACTTGTAACAATGATGCTACTTCCCTAGAGGCAAACCACTACTTGTAACAATGATACTACTTCCCTACTAGCAAACCACTACTTGTAACACTGATACTACTTCCCTACTTGCAAACCACTACTTGTAACAATGATACTACTTCCCTACTTGCAAACCACTACTTGTAACAATGATACTACTTCCCTACAGGCAAACCACTACTTGTAACAATGATACTACTTCCCTACTTGCAAACCACTACTTGTAACAATGATACTACTTCCCTACTGGTAAACCACTACTTGTAACAATGATACTACTTCCCTACTTGCAAACCACTGCTTGTAACAATAATACTACTTCCCTACTTGCAAACCACTACTTGTAACAATGATACTACTTCCCTAGAGGCAAACCACTACTTGTAACAATGATACTACTTCCCTAGAGGCAAACCACTGCTTGTAACAATAATACTACTTCCCTACTTGCAAACCACTACTTGTAACAATGATACTACTTCCCTACAGGCAAACCACTGCTTGTAACAATAATACTACTTCCCTACTTGCAAACCACTACTTGTAACAATGATACTACTTCCCTAGAGGCAAACCACTGCTTGTAACAATGATACTATTTCCCTAGAGGCAAACCACTACTTGTAACAATGATGCTACTTCCCTAGAGGCAAACCACTACTTGTAACAATGATACTACTTCCCTACTAGCAAACCACTACTTGTAACACTGATACTACTTCCCTACTTGCAAACCACTACTTGTAACAATGATACTACTTCCCTACTTGCAAACCACTACTTGTAACAATGATACTACTTCCCTACAGGCAAACCACTACTTGTAACAATGATACTACTTCCCTACTTGCAAACCACTACTTGTAACAATGATGCTACTTCCCTAGAGGCAAACCACTACTTGTAACAACAATACTACTTCCCTAGAGGCAAACCACTGCTTGTAACAATAATACTACTTCCCTACTTGCAAACCACTACTTGTAACAATGATACTACTTCCCTACAGGCAAACCACTGCTTGTAACAATAATACTACTTCCCTACTTGCAAACCACTACTTGTAACAATGATACTACTTCCCTAGAGGCAAACCACTACTTGTAACAATGATACTACTTCCCTACTGGCAAACCACTACTTGTAACAATGATACTACTTCCCTACTGGCAAACCACTACTTGTAACAATGATACTACTTCCCTACTAGCAAACCACTGCTTGTAACAATGATACTACTTCCCTACTGGCAAACCACTACTTGTAACAATGATACTACTTCCCTACAGGCAAACCACTACTTGTAACAATGATACTACTTCCCTAGAGGCAAACCACTACTTGTAACAATGATACTACTTCCCTACTGGCAAACCACTGCTTGTAACAATGATACTACTTCCCTACTAGCAAACCACTGCTTGTAACAATGATACTACTTCCCTAGAGGCAAACCACTGCTTGTAACAATAATACTACTTCCCTACTTGCAAACCACTACTTGTAACAATGATACTACTTCCCTAGAGGCAAACCACTACTTGTAACAATGATACTACTTCCCTACTGGCAAACCACTACTTGTAACAATGATACTACTTCCCTACTGGCAAACCACTACTTGTAACAATGATACTACTTCCCTACTTGCAAACCACTACTTGTAACAATGATGCTACTTCCCTAGAGGCAAACCACTGCTTGTAACAATGATACTATTTCCCTACTTGCAAACCACTGCTTGTAACAATGATACTACTTCCCTACTAGCAAACCACTGCTTGTAACAATGATACTACTTCCCTAGAGGCAAACCACTGCTTGTAACAATAATACTACTTCCCTACTTGCAAACCACTACTTGTAACAATGATACTACTTCCCTAGAGGCAAACCACTACTTGTAACAATGATACTACTTCCCTACTGGCAAACCACTACTTGTAACAATGATACTACTTCCCTACTGGCAAACCACTACTTGTAACAATGATGCTACTTCCCTACTTGCAAACCACTACTTGTAACAATGATACTACTTCCCTAGAGGCAAACCACTACTTGTAACAATGATACTACTTCCCTACTGGCAAACCACTACTTGTAACAATGATACTACTTCCCTACTGGCAAACCACTACTTGTAACAATGATGCTACTTCCCTACTTGCAAACCACTACTTGTAACAATGATACTACTTCCCTAGAGGCAAACCACTACTTGTAACAATGATACTACTTCCCTACTTGCAAACCACTACTTGTAACAATGATACTACTTCCCTACTTGCAAACCACTACTTGTAACAATGATGCTACTTCCCTACTGGTAAACCACTGCTTGTAACAATGATGCTACTTCCCTAGAGGCAAACCACTACTTGTAACAATGATACTACTTCCCTACTGGTAAACCACTACTTGTAACAATGATACTACTTCCCTAGAGGCAAACCACTACTTGTAACAATGATACTACTTCCCTACTGGCAAACCACTACTTGTAACAATGATACTACTTCCCTAGAGGCAAACCACTACTTGTAACAATGATACTACTTCCCTAGAGGCAAACCACTACTTGTAACAATGATGCTACTTCCCTACTTGCAAACCACTACTTGTAACAATGATACTACTTCCCTAGAGGCAAACCACTACTTGTAACAATGATGCTACTTCCCTACTTGCAAACCACTACTTGTAACAATGATGCTACTTCCCTACTGGTAAACCACTGCTTGTAACAATGATGCTACTTCCCTAGAGGCAAACCACTACTTGTAACAATGATACTACTTCCCTACTGGTAAACCACTACTTGTAACAATGATACTACTTCCCTAGAGGCAAACCACTACTTGTAACAATGATACTACTTCCCTACTGGCAAACCACTACTTGTAACAATGATACTACTTCCCTAGAGGCAAACCACTACTTGTAACAATGATACTACTTCCCTAGAGGCAAACCACTACTTGTAACAATGATGCTACTTCCCTACTTGCAAACCACTACTTGTAACAATGATACTACTTCCCTAGAGGCAAACCACTACTTGTAACAATGATGCTACTTCCCTACTTGCAAACCACTACTTGTAACAATGATACTACTTCCCTACTTGCAAACCACTACTTGTAACAATGATGCTACTTCCCTACTGGTAAACCACTGCTTGTAACAATGATGCTACTTCCCTAGAGGCAAACCACTACTTGTAACAATGATACTACTTCCCTACTGGTAAACCACTACTTGTAACAATGATACTACTTCCCTAGAGGCAAACCACTACTTGTAACAATGATACTACTTCCCTACTGGCAAACCACTACTTGTAACAATGATACTACTTCCCTAGAGGCAAACCACTACTTTTAACAATGATGCTACTTCCCTACTGG